GGCTCGCCTACCAGAAATAAAAGGGGTCATTTAGGCACTCATCCAGTGTGCTTGCCTTTCCTTGCTTGGGGCCAGCCAATCATGCAGGGCTTCCTAGCAACCCTCACTCTCTATCTCCTCATCCCAGGGCACCAATCAGGGCCCTTGCTTATATAACAAACATTTTGCAGTGATCTCACTGGGCAGACACATAGGCTGATTCCTTTGTGAGATCGTCTCTGCTCGCCAAACATGCCAAAGTTTTAACCACCTCTCTCTCCTCTCATTTGCTCTCTACCTACTGTTGTAATTAGACCTCAGAATGTGTAACTTATTTTTAAACTACCAACTATCAGAAAGCTGAGAGAGATAAGGAGAAGCCTGGTATGTAATAGATATATACAGAGAAGGTGGCCAGAGAGAGGACGTTAGGGAAAAGCAGAGAAAAACAAGTGAAGAAGAATGCATCAGAAAATGTTGTGTCTGACAGACAGAGGACTGGGACACACCAGGACCAGCTTACCTATATCTGCATGCGTAAAAGTCCTTGCCTAGAAAATTATTCTAAGAGCAAAATAATATATATTAAAATACCACTTTATTTCCTGAGGCTAAAAAAAATTTATGGGACCTGGCTGGCGTAGCTCAGTGGATTGAGTGCGGGCTGCAAATCAAAGTGTCGCAAGTTTGATTCCCAGTAAGGACACATGCCTGGGTTGCAAGCCACGGCTCTCAGCAACCGCACATTGATGTTTCTCTCTCTCTCTCTCTCCCTCCCTTCCGTCTCTAAAAATAAATAAATAAATAAAATCTTTTTAAAAATCTTAAAAAAATTTATGGGGATACATATATCTAACACTCCAAGATAAAAAGGAATAGAAAAGCAGTTTCCTAAAATCTAAATCAACAAAGTAACTTTCCTCCCCACAGATAATAAAAATCACTGCCACAATACTTGCCCAATGCTGGCTCCTTCCAACCACACAGCCTTCTTACACTGCTTTCCCTAGATAATCCCAGCCACAAAGTTCGAGTTTTCCAAAAGCATAAGGAAGCCTAAAAGAGACCATCACACCTCAGGGCCTGCGTCTCTGAGGCTTCAATCTCTTCATTTATTTTTCTGTCTAACCACTCCACTTCTTTCTGATTAAATTTCATTTTAAGCATTGTAAACTGGTTTTCCCCAAACCTATTACATTGGTATTTTAATCCCTGAAGTGAAGAACAAGTAATGCCACGTTTCTTAGACCTGAGTGCTAAGGGTACTTACTATGGAGGGACAAAAGTCTCTGAATAAATTTGGTGCATCTACCTGGAGCATCAATTTGAACTTGAGTGGGGGTGAGGGTGCTAGCCCTAAAAGAGATGTAATGGCAACAGATTTTAAAAATTTACCTAAAATTTTATTTAAAAAAGAGAGGGAGAGAGAACTAGAGAGATAGAGATAGAGATATAGAGAGAGAGACTCTTCAAAGACATTCCCTGTTGTTTGCTAGCGCTGGCAGAACCCCACCCTCCACCCCCATACAGGTATATTGGAAATACTGCAGGTTCGGTTCCAGACCACTACAATAAAGCAAGTATCGCAATAAAGCCAGTTATAATCTTTTTGCTGGTGGGGCGGGTCTCACCTTCATTTGTTTAAAAAAAAAACACAACACCTATAAATAAATAAAGCGAAGTGCAATAAAACAAGGTACGCCTGTGGTTCCTTCACTCTCTGCTGTTAAGGATACTTCAGTGGAAAGGTTTGACAAACACTAAAGTAAAAGACTGAGAGATAAGAGGAACATTCACATTCATTAAGTAAATATTTATTGAGAGCCTTCTATGTGCCAGACACTTTCGTAGATGCAAACGATATACAAATGCAAAAGCACGGGTGTCTATCCTTAAGAAGTCTATCACAATCCTGGCTGATTTGGGCATTTTAACAAACACTGCTGGTCAGATGCTGCCATCCAGAGACCCTAATTTAGTCTGAGGTTGGGCCCCAGCAGCATGAATCTTTTAAAAGGGTTCCCAGGTTATTCTAATTGGCAGCCTGGGTTGAAAACCATGTGGTGTCACAGTGACCAGTCTCCTGCTGTTTCTGATGACAGACCCTTAAAAGAAGTATGGGGCTGCAGTGCCACAGAAAGGAGAAAGGACAAAAGAAGTTTAGAGATACTTGGAAAGGGCCTAAGTACAAGATCTGACATAGTGCCGGGCCAGATGGCACCAGGTATTTTCTCTTTCTCTCTCTTTCATTCATTCATCCCTCATCTACCACCCACCTAGGATCAGAAAGGATTTTTAGATAAAAGAAAAAAGAAAACAGAAAAAGCAAAACATTGTCACCCCTCCAGGCAAACAAAATTAGAAATATATTGTTTTCCAGGTTTTAAATTGGTTAAGTGGAAATGGGGGATGAGAAAGCAGTGCATATAGAGGAAATAAACACTGTTATTTTAAAATGAGATTAGCAACAGAATAAACAGGAGGAACCTTGGTTGAAAAGTTATCACTGTCTATAAAAAAAAGCCATTTAATACCACCAGCAAACTACATCCTCATGACAAAATAAAGCTTAATTATTTTCTAATTTTCTCATCTCTTAGGCCACCTTGAGCATAACCTGATGATCAAGATAGAGAAAAACCGCTACAGCAAACTCTCAATTTCTCAAAATAAATAAATTACCCACAAAGCAAAACCAAATAGGTAAAAATTTCCCTTAAAATAGCTTCCAAATTTTGATAATAGGTAACACATAATGACTATTATGGGGTGAGCACTGTTCTAAGCACTTTAATTATAACAAATGAATCCTCACATCAACCCTATGAGGGTACTATAAAGTTCCACTTTACAGATGACAAAACTGAGGCAGAGAGACATTAAGTAGCTTACCATAGATCACGAAGCTAGCAAGTGGCAGAGCTGGGATCTGAACCAGATAGTCAGCTTCAGCGTCTGTGCCCTTAACCTCATTTATGTGAAAAAACTATTTTCAGGCTGTGGCTTGGCCAAACGTATTAAAGTTGTAGCTACTTTCTTGATTTTAAGAAATGGTGTGATAAGTACAATAACACCGCAACACAGATTGTTTCTGGCTTTTGTCAAAGAAACTAATTTCCTAAAAACAAACTTCTTGCTTTTGCGTTATCTGCACTTTAGAAATAGAGGATGTGAAGGATGCTACAGTTGAGACTTTGAAATCTGTTTTACCATAAGTAACAGCTCCCCTCTGGCATTCATAACAATACAAACATCTCAATCCTCCAGACTAGAAGGATCATCAAAATATATTATACAGAGAAGGACTTACAGAGAGAAGCCAGAAAAAGGGTGGAGTAATCTGCGAGACTTCCTTTCCCCAAATTTAGCGTTTCATCTCATTAGCTAATTCATACAGAGTCTGTAAAACATTCATTTTGTGCTTTCAATTACGGGCAGAAAAAGGTCATGAGACACTACAACCCTCTCGCATACAGCCACTAGAAGGAATGAAATAAGAGAGGTGGGAATTAGCAGCAATAGAAAGAAATGAAACAGGGTATCTTACCACTGGGTGGGTAAGTAACGGATTATTTTCACTTTCAACACAAATGGTAATGCAGAGGGCACAGTTTCTGTGCAAGGATATGACTGGCACGCACAAACACTGAATGAGGAAATGGGGCTGACTCAACACCAAATCATTGTAAAAGACACACAAACCATCCTCAGCCATCAACAGCTTTTCACTTACACAGCTCCTGACATCTTTGCCTTCATGTATTGTGGTTTTCTGCCATCCAGCCAATCACACCCAGAAAGAACTCTTTGCTTTGCTAAGAACTAGGTTCTTTTTCATTTACCCTCTCAGTCCCCAAGAACCCCACCAATATTTAAACCCAGATGAGTAAGGGTTCCTAACTGGAAAATAACTGCCACAGGTATCTCTATTTCCAGAGAAACTAGTAAATAATCTCGTAACACAGAGCAAAGAACACTGTACTAGAAATATGTGTTTTATACTCGTCTTCATCATTCAATAATGGTGTGACCAAGAAATATAATTTTACCTTCCCAGACCTCCTTTACTTGTGAAATAAAGCTACTACCTCACTGGCCTTAAGGTTGAGGACCACCTCATATAATCTCTTAAATCTCTTTCATCAATTCTTTGATAATTCAACTAAACAAGCATTTGTTTCTCCAAGCTCTGCTTCATGCTGGAGAGAAAAAATCAAGAATGAGGCATGCTTAAGAAACAGGAGTGGGCCCTGGCTGGCATAGCTCAGTGGATTGAGGGCAGGCTGCGAATCAAAGTGTCGCAGGTTCGATTCCCAGTCAGGGCACATGCCTGGGTTGCAGGCCACGGCCCCCAGCAACCACACATTGATGTGTCTCTCTCTTTCTCCCTCCCTTCCCTCTCTAAAAAAATTAAAATAAATAAAATTAAAAAAAAAAAGAAACAGGAGTGGTAGGGCATTCTTCAGCAGGGTCATTCAAATCTCTTAGTCTACAGCATTCAGAACACTTCAATACAGCACCTCCACTCCAGCCAGTAAGCACACTTCCATCTCTACGTTTCTGCTTATGCAAGTAACCTTCCTCTAAACCTATAATGCTTTTCATCTCTTGCTTGCTCCTCCAAGATTCCAAATCTGAATTTGTCTTCTCCATTAGGTTTGTCCCACACCAATCCCTCCGTCAGCTTTCTATGCATCATGCATAGTACATGATGCATAAGGGAACATCATGTTCCTGCTTCCTTGGCAACTTTATAACTTGATTTTCCCTTTGGCTGTATTTGAGGTCTTGGAGAGAATTCAGGTTCATCATCAAAGGAATGACAGCTGATGAATAAGCTTCATACAGCTAGGTTTCTGAGGACTTCATTTCGAAGACAGTAAACAGGGGCTGAGAAGTTTCAAGACCATGCACACCTGGGCTGGCACTGGTTAGACCAACGCATGGCAGGGGAGGGGAGAGAACCACCACACTTCTCAAGAGAGTTGACCTGAGCATGATTCTGGTCCCTTAACAGTTACCTGTTTAAGGTCCTGTATGCACCATCCACGTTCCCTTCCTGCACCATCACAGTCCTGGCAATGAACTTCAGATGTTTTGCCATGACTTGAGATTAAGTCCTCACTCCGTAGGACCTAAAGAATGATGGAGAAAAGGAAAAGAACATATAGAGACCAGGTCAACAAAACAAAACACAACACACAACAGAATACACACTCTACCGCATGGCTTATTCAGTGTCTGGATATGCAACGTGCTCAATAAGACAGGCACGTGCAAGTTCTCATAGCCTTCACATCACACGCCAATCGTTATCAAGACTCCCTCGTTCTTTCTGCCCGTATGAGCTCTACCACGGGGAAGCAAAGAGGTGGTAGCAGCTGTCACCACGGGGACTGACGTGGACGAGCACGACAGGATCCGGACGCACCGCAGAGCCCCCCTCCACCCATGACCGTTCGTAGCTCCAGGAGGGCTGGGGTGGGAGTTGGGAACCGAGCCTTTCTCCGGCTTTAAAAAAGGGGACAACTGCGCGCAAACGTGCCCTCCCGCTGCACCGGCCTTCCTTTCCCCACCCCCAGCACCCGTCCTCACCCGGCGCCCGCCCGACCCCGCCGGCGCCGAGCCAGTTCGAAACCGGAAGCGGAAATACGCAATCTTCTGCCAAGCAAAGAAACACTGGCTGAAGGGTGGGGGGGAGGTACCAACGCGGAAACCATGGCAACGTTCTTTCTGGCTGGGGTTGACCGCCTTTCCAGCCGTCCCCACCAGACCCCCACAGACTCTACACCTGACAAAGCAAAATACTCGTAGCCTCAAATCCCCTGCAAACAACTTCCTCACCTTCTGAGGGGGTCGATGTCCTAAGGCTCCGGAGATCAGCCCGATTTTGTACCCCTTAATCCTATTAAGTCTTTAATAGATATGTAAGCCATTTCTTTTTTTAGAAGGAAAATGAAAGACATAGACGAGGCTCCCTGAGCATGCTTCCTGTTTTCTCGTAGCAAAGAACACGGATTCTTTGAGGTCTGCCCTCCGGATGAAAAACAGCGTCACACCCCTCATCTGTCTAAAAACTAAGGAAAAGAAGCAAAATGAACATACCATGAGTTTCCTATAACATCATCTTTCAGCTGCGTCACTAAATAAAGAACTGGGAAACACCTGCAGGGTTTAAAATGGAAGACTCTTTTATGTCATTTTGCTTCCTAGGGAGACCTAGAGAAATAAATTTTTTTCTTTCTCACTATGGAAACAGCTTTCCTTTTATTCCTATGTCACTTCTACATACCCATTTATGGTTATTCACAGAAGTTCAGATCCAGTGCCTACTGGAAAATAGTAGGGAACAGCTCAAAAGAAGAAAGCAGATCCCAACCAGGTACTTGTGCAACAAGGTTCTTTGAGTACCTCCTTTCAAACAGGCCCGTGGCACACACCATAATAAGTTTTACTAATTAGTTCAGAGTAAGCCAGGCTCAAAATACCATAATAGAGCTAGACTGGGACATTGTTATGCTCAGCAACAAATTCTTATTGAATGCCTGTTCTGTGACAGGTACTGTTGATACCATCCAGGGCCTCTTGGACTATCAAAAGTCAATATGTAGACATAAATGCAGAATAAGTTATATAAGCTACAGCATAATGTGGTGAAAAAGCACTGGATTAGAAGTCTGGAGATCTGGAGTCTATCCAAATTCTGATTTCAGGCATATGACCTCGAACAAGTTACTTAAACCAGTAGTCTGCAAATTACTGCCTACAAGTCAAATCCAACTCCACCATTGCATTTGTAAATAAACTTTATTGGGATTCAGCTGTGTTCATTTGTTTATGTATTATGTATGTATGGCTGCTTTGGGCTATAGTGGCAGAGTTGGATAGTTGCAATAGAGATGCATGGTCCACAATGCCTAAAGTATTTACTAACTGATTCTTGCTGATCCCTGACTTAAACTACCAGTCTATTTCCTAATCTGTAAAATGGAACTAACATCTGCCCTCAATCACACAAATTTTGTCATGGGAATCAAATGGGATAAAAATACTTTGAAATAAAGGAGGAGAAAAGTAAAATTTTTGAGGACCTACTATATACCATACCTTGTACTAGTTCTTTTACGTACATGATCTCATTTTACAGGCCAAAGACTGAGCCCACATGTATCATGTTTAATGGAGAGAATAATTGGAAGAAGAACTTGAGTTAGAGAACAGTAGAGTTTAGTTGACAGAACAAGGAAAGACTGGGCAAAGTGAACAGCGTGAACGTAAGTGCAGAGGCAAGAGGCCTTATCATTTTCAGGAACAACTAAGAAAACTGGAACAGAGGGATCACGCAGGGGAGCAGATGGAGAAATAGGGATCTTGATGGAAGGTTCTGGGTTTTCATCTCTGAGCGCCAGTGAGCCATTAGATTTGAATAGGGAACAACATGCATAGCACTGCTCTAGGAAAATTTTTCTGGTTATTAGTGAGAAGGGGATCGAGGTAAGGAAGACTAGTCAAAGTTCAGACCAGAGAGGCGGCAATGGAATGAATGTGAAGAAATGAGTTTTAAGAGATATTCCAAATACAGAATAAAAAGGATTTGGTGCCTGAATGACACCAAATTTTAAGCCTAGTTATCTGGAAAAAATGATGGTACCACAGATGGCATTAACTGAAGAAAAAGAGAATATAAAAAGGGAGAACAGAACACCTTAAAAGAAATATAATTTTGACTGGTGAGCACCAAATAAAAGCACCAGACTATAAACTAACCCGTTCTGTACCACACGTTGTGTTCTTGCACAAGACGCCTGTTTCCTCATCTATAAAATGAAGGAGTTGGATCAGATACAAAGGGTACCTCTTGGCTCTAAAATGCTGAAATTTTTTATAAGTTTTAAGTGTTAGTAATATGTAAATAGAACCCTCCAGCAGGAATGTAGACATTCAGTATGTCATCTCAGGGGAAAGATTGTGACAGGAAATGAAGTTTTTGCAGTCTTCTAAAATTGAGGCAATAGCTTTGGCTGGTGTAGCTCAGTGGATTGAGCATGGGCGGCAAACCAAAGGGTCACTGGTTCGATTCCCAGTCAGGGCACATGCCTGGGTTGCAGGCCAGGTTCCTAGTGGGGGCCATGTGAGAGGCAACCACACATGATGTTTCTCCTCCTCTTTTTCTCCTTCCCCTCTCTCTAAAAAATTGAGGCAATAATTTAAGCCATGAAAGAAGATGAAGACTTTAGGTGAAAAACGTCTTGTCAGAGAAAAGAGTCAATGTGTGAGCCTAGGGGAACACCCACACTGTGGAGTGGGCAGAAGTGGGGCCATTAAGTTTACGAAGTTGTTGCCAGGCAGGTAAGAGGAGAATTAGGCTAGTGCACTGTCACAGGATCCAAGGGAGGACAGTTTCAGTGGGCAGCATCAGGAGTGTCAAGTGATACAGACAGCACGAAGAACGTCATCTTTGTAAAGGTGTCCTGGACCTCACTATTGATTGGGTGGTAGCTACCCTGTAATACTCTGATTCTGTGCGCTCAACAGTGACTTGGGAAGCTGTAGTAGAGTGAGAGTGGAGGATAGGCCGCACGAGGTTAAGGACTGAGGGATAAAAAGGAGTCAGAAAGAGTACAATTAGACTACTCTGTCAAGAATCATGGAGAAAAAGCAAGACAGGGCAATCAGGCTCGAGAGGTTTTCAAGAAAAGATCACCTGATCAAACTCATAGGTTAAATAAATAATAAATAATTTGATGATAAATTGAAGTTATAGGAGGAAGAGGGGGTAAGTGTTATAACAGAAGTGAGAGTAACCAAAAGCACTAATGGAGAGGTTTGCCTTAAAAAGGTGGTCATGTTCTCTGAAATCAAAGGAAACAATTATGTGGTGAGAACAGATTTGAAACACAGGGGAAAGACATGTAACTAGCTACGAGAAACATGCTCGTTAGCCAATAAACGGTAAAATGAGTGCATACCCTCATATGCTGCCAAGACTTACAATGGGGGAGGATATGGTTTTGGTGGAAAGTGAGACAAATCACAAAGAGTATTATATGGGAAGGAATAGATATAGGTAAATCCACAGGCTTAATTTTTGCCACCTGCTAACAGTGGGTAGGTACCCTTCCTTACTCCAAGATACGGAGGTGGGCAACAGCAGGCTGACACTTGTTTGTAATAAATAATGTAATAATAAATACGGTAATATAATAATTTAGTAGCTTCAGCTTTTTGATTAAGGATGAGGCCCAGTGTGTGAGGGGACTCCGCATTCTAACAGTTCTAGGGTACCCCTTCCTCTTCAAAACTGGCAACCACAGTGCCTGTTCTGGCTCTTGGGTCCCACCTCTGGCAGATTATATATGCACTTATCCACAAGCATCAACAGTTCTCATTAAGGTAAAGAGCTATCAGGAAGCAGAAGAACCTGCTAGTCTGGGCCAGCTGGATGACTACACCAGTGAGACACAAAGGGAAATGTACTAGTCTCTGAGCCTGAATGACAAAAACAAAGCCAACTCTGAGCTCGCTAACTGTCTCAAGGGTGTTTCCTAGGAAGACGGCAGCAGAGTCCCTCTTCCTCTCCCATAGGACTTCTGCTGTCCCATCCAGACTTCTAACTTGGTAGAGCTCAATTTCACAAACCTTCCCACCGCCCTTTTCTTCTGTTCTACAGTTTAGGGGATAAATGTAGGTATTTGAAACAGGTTTCAATTTTCCCCTAATCAGCACACTGTTTAAGTATAAAATTTCTTTAATCAGAAAGGATTTCTCTTCCCTTAACACGAATGCACACATTAAAAGTAAAATACAGACACATATGTATGGACATATATTTATACAAATTAGAAACTACAGGCTCAAGTCCCAGACTAGGGGTTGAGAGGATGGACATCAGGAGCAACTGGAGGATGGCTTCTCATCTGCTCTAGGTGTCCCCCAGTTATCTCTCTGGCCACGCCAGATAGATCACGAGGGGACAGGGTACGGCTCCAGTCTGATGGCAGAGTTACTGGTAAGCTGTGGCAACGAGGTCCCTCTCCAGATAGTTTCTTAGGATAACCAGGGATGCTGGGAGATGCTGTAGTAGGGGGAACTGGAGTGGTTGGGGCTGAGTAGGTGAAGGGCTGCTCTCTCTGCTGGAGGAAAAGGATGACACCGATGCTGGTTCCGGTGCCTGAAGGACCACAGCTAAAGGAGATGGTACCTGGGGAACTGAGAGGGGGGTTGCAAATTGGAGTGGTGTGGATCCAAGTGAGGTTCATAGGTGGCAGTTCAGTGAGATGCCAAGGCTGCTTTGGTGTCAATACTAAGTGTCCTAGATGCATCTGGTCCATCTTTTCCACGGGATGTGCAGGAAAGGAAGCAGCTGGATAACTGTGGTGGCTCGGAAAATGCTAGGGAGGGAAAGAAAAGAGAAAAGAAATTATGAGAAAGCTTTCAGATTAACTCTACCCATTGCTTGAACCTTTGCTTTTCTTGGGAACTCTGTTTGCAAAGAAAACATACCTTGTTTTGTGCAACAGATAATTTCTTGCCAGATCATAACTAAGTAAAAGTTTTAATAACCCAATTATACTTTCATTTATTCAACAAACACTTGCGGGCCCACTATGTGCCACATGCTATGTTGGGCACTGGATATTAAGACATATACAGAACAAAACAGTCCCATGGGTTCTTACTACTTATAATTCATTTTAGAATTTTGTTTAATTGGAATCACTTTCCAATTTCTGTATTTTAAATTCAATTTCCTATGTTGAATGCCTTACAAAGTATAAATTAATATGCAGGCAAGATCCTCATGCTTATTTTTTAATTTTATTTTTTAATTACAGTTTACATTCAATACTGTTTTGTACTAGTTTCAGGTACACAGCATAGTGGTTAGACAATCTTGTTTTACAAAGTGTTCCCCCCTGTATTTCCAGTACCCACCTGGCACCATACATAGCTGTTATAATATTATTGACTATATTCCCTACACTGTACTTTACATTCCCATGACTATTTCATAACTACCAACATGTACATCTTATTCCCTTCATGTTTTTCCATCCAGTCTTCCAACCTTTTTCCCCTTTGGCAACCATCAGTCAGTTCTCTGTATCTATGAGCCTATTTTTGTTTTGTTTGCTTTTTATTTTGTTATTTAGAATCTGCATATAAGTGAAATCATATCATATTTGTCTTTCTCTGATTGACTTATTTTACTTAGCATAATACTCTGTAGGTCCATCTATGCTGTCACAAATGGTAAGGTTTCATTCTTTTCCTCCTGCTTATTTTTAATTATTATTTAAAATAAAAAAATAGATTTTAGAGGAAGGGAGAAAGTGAGAGAGAGAAACATCAATTTGTTCTTCCAATTACCTATGCATTCATTGGCTGATTCTTGCATGTGCCCTGACTGGGGAGCAACCTTGCCATTGCTCCTCCTGCTCTCTCTCTCTTTTTTTTTAAACCATTAATTTTTAAAAAAAATTTATTTGTGTGAGAGAGACAGAAACCCTGATCTGTTGTTCCACTTACTCAGGCATTCATTGACTGACTCCTGAATGTGCCCTGACTGGGGATTGAACCAGCAATCCTTTGGGTAGTAGGATGACACTCCAACCAACTTAGCCACCTGGCCAGGGCTCCTGCTTATTTTAAAATCAATTATTCTCAAAGTGATAACTATGGTTGATTGGAAACAAGGAATGTCTAACATCTACAGGAAACTTTCTCCTCCCTATCATTTGAGTGCCCCCTAAATACCCTATTATTTGAAGACCCGGAAAATAGGTCACTCTTATACTAGCTCTAAGCTCTATCCAACACTCCTCTATGGGTGCCTCATAGCTGTCCTTGTCAGTCCCAGTGATATATTTCTTACTTCTGATGACCAGTCCATAAACCCATGCTTCCAGAGGGTCTGGTACAAGGATACTTGGGCAGTAGTAAAAAGGAGAAGGAAAGCATTTTTGGAGCAGTAGAGGAGAAACAATTTACAGAAGGAAGCTGAGGCATCTTCCTGTATGAATCATTTGGCTGGGTAACAAAGATTCTCTCTATGCAGAATGCAGATAAGCTGCCACATAGAATTCTTTGTAGTGATAGAGCAAAAAAAAAAAAAAAAAAAAAGTCTAGGAATCAAGACAATAAAGGAAGTTTTATCTTTCCCTTCCTTGAAAAGAAACTTGTTGAAAAAATGAAAAGACCCAGAAGAAAATGGAGGAGGGAGCCCATCCCTAAATGTATACTTCATTTCCGTGGTTATTCTTGCACCTCTTCCTCACGTTTACAAGTTCTTACCTTGGTCTGCTGGTGCCTGCTACTACCCCGTGATGACTTCTGGGCAGCTATGTGAGGAAACCAAGTCTTTAACATTCCTTCTACCTGCAGCAGGGTTCCCAGATAACGTTCTCTGTGGGAAAAAAAAAAACATTAAAAAAATTAAGTGTGAAAAGAGGAACATGACAGGATTGAAGATGTCTCATTTGTTATGAACTACTGAGGAAAGAACCGAGAGAACTTACCCCATCTGTGGCTTCTGCAAAACACCAACGATACGCTGGATCCTGTCCATTGCCACACTCTGCTGAAAACTGCTCAATCCTGGGTTCAGGAAGGAAGAAAGACATCAAGGATTGGAATGCAAAAATTTAATCAAATAAAGGACAGAAGGAGGTTAAAATGGATTCACCCAAAGAAATTAAGTCACAGGAGGAAAAAAAGGAATAATTCCGAACCCAAACAAAGACTTACGAGAAATACACATTTAAAACATATTTTGAGAGCAAGAAACCTAGCTTAGATTAATGCAACTAATCGAATAATTACCTCTTTCAAAGCGACCCATCTTCAGCCCATTCAGTAGGTCTGTGAGAGGACGTATGAATCCCTGGAGCTCTTTACACTGCAGGGAAAACAGGTCAAAAGCTATGAGAAGACCAAGCATTGCCCACACTCGTGCTGATTTTTCTTGCAGCTCCAAATCTGGTAGCCAATACTATCCTCACAGGGTTCTTATCCATCAGCAGGGTGTGTAGTGCCTTGTTTTCTCAGCTTTCTCTTACCTTCTGAGCAAAGAGCAGGTCCCCTTCTGTGGTACAACTGTGGATGTTTCGACTGGTCTCCAATTCACGATCTCGTGATCTTTTGACCCCAGATCCCGCCATAGGAGAAGCCAAGCCCCGCTGTTCAGAGTGCGATGCTGTAAGTTGATTACTGGAAACCTTGGGTCGTTGCCTGTAGCGAATAGGACCCGGGCTGGGCCGAGAACCTCCCCTCTGCCCAACAGTGTCTGGTCTGGGGCCGTGGGCCCCTCTTTCCTCCCCCTCATTATCGGAGGGGAAGCCAAAGTCACTGTTCCCTGGGGAGGTGGAAAAAGAGGAAGGGACAGAGGAGGAAGAATAGGAAGAAACGCTAGATGGAGAATCCATAGGTTCAGAAGCAGGGGCTGGAGAGCAGCTCCTTGAGTACCCAAAGATCGGACCTGCAACTGAAGAGCAAAGCGAAGGAGTTTGAAACCAGCATCTGAGACTTAGGAAACGGACTGGGAGACTGGGGTGCACAGTACGGGATAATCACATCTCTTGCCTCCCTCCCCAAAATTACCTGTCTCAGACAAATTAGACAAGCCATCTCCCCCGCCTCCATTAGGAACCTGGACTGCCTCTCTGGTGTCCGCAAAGCAGCTCTTAGCCTGACAGACTTCCGTTCCTTCTTCCCTCGCTTCAGAGTAAATACCTGACTTAACATTCCCCACTCTGATCCATTGTTCACCTGATCCCGCAGAGAGCCTCTCTACCTGAGGTCGCGCCACCGGCGAGCGTTAGATCTGTGGCACCGGAACCCATCTAGTGACTCTGCACGAACCGCCTCCCAAAAAGACCCCCGCCCACCCGCACCCTCCCAACACACACACCGGCTCTTCCCACTCTTTCCCATTAGGGTCCCAGCTCCGTACCTTCTTGGGTCCCTCTGCCACCTGATACGATCGCTCCGAAAACCAAGAGGTCCCTAAACCCACTCTCTCTGGGGCTGATCCCGCGCACACCGCGGCCGGTCCTTCGGTTTTCCTCACCTGTGCCGGTCGACTCAGCGCAGACTGTCTCCAGCTCCACGCACTCTACGGGTCTCAGCTCCCCACCTCCGCGTCTCATCCACTGGGTCCCGCCCCTTCCCCCTCCCAAACACGTGCAGCTCCGCACGTGCCTTCCCCTGCGTACACAGACCTCGCACCCTCATTGGTCATCTAGCCGGTGGCACGTGACGGTAGTTGCTGAAGTTCATATCCCATTTGCTACAGCATATAGGGGCTCGACCAATAGAGAGGCAGTCAGGTGACGATTGGCTGGAAGGAGAGCATTCCGTGTTCCGCCCCTACATGCGGCTGGCGGAGAGGACCCGGTGATGAGAAAAGGAGGAGGATGGAAAAAGAGTGGAAAAGAAGGGAGGGGAGGAAAAAAGGCGGAACTCGTGACCTTAAATAGGATGGTGGTGCGCCGGAAGCTCTTGGCTTTAGTGTGCAGACTGGTTGTGGGACCTGAGGCGTGAGCCTCGCAATATCGGACTCCTGACTCCTTGCGAGCGTACCCCTCTGTCCCCTATTTGAGCGCCTCTGCTCACGGGTGGAGCACGTGGAACCCTCAGCGACTTGCGTCTGCAACGTGTGTTAGAATGGAGGCGTGCTACTGTGTATCCTCACCCTTCTCGGAGGCCCAGCCCTCGTGATTTCCTGGTCTCTGTTTCACCATACCCTCCTTTTTCTCCTACGAGTTGGGTGCCTCCTGCCCTGCTGGGTGAAGAGGGTGGGGACTGCCGCCGAGAACACCGCGTCCTCTCCAGGGCTCCCCCTGGGGCGGCTCCTTCAGCCCTTTCCTTACATAACCCGCCGTGCACGTTACCAGCTCAGATGCCAGGCCGCCACGACTCTAGAGGTCAAAGCAGAACTCGATTGTTCCAGACTTTTCAACCCGGGCTCTGCGCCCGTGAATTCTGTAAAGGAACAGCGTGAGGGAGGTCCCTGATCTTGTAGGTTATGTGTTTGTCCATCTTCGGTTTCATTTGTTCCCTCGAGAGATTCGAAAGGTTTTGAAGGCGGGAAGGTTACAAGTCCGGAGTTTTACTATTCGCTGCCCCTTGCTGCATTGAAACGGTACAGTGAAGAGAAAAGGTGATGGGGCTCATGGACTATAGGCTGATTGAAGCTGTGACATAGAAGAGACCGCAAGGGGGCAGCCCAGTTCTGATTAGGGTCTCGCGGATAGGGGAAATACATACATACATATATACATATATACATACATAAATAAATAAATATCCTTGCCTGCCCTAATTACTAACTGGAAAAGGCACATTGTTTGGGGGTGGGGTGGAGGAGTGTGTGAATTTTTAGAATCTATTCTAAGTAGTTTTTGATATTTTACATGTTTAACAATGCTTATTTTATAAAAAGAAAAAAAAAGGTTCTGAATAAATTTCAGCGTTCCCCAAACACTATTTCAACACCATATATAATGAAATAAAGCAACAGAGTTAGAAGGAATTATGGGCTGTGAATAAACCTGTTTTCTGTGGGTGCTGTTCTCCATTCTTCCAAAAATTTCAAGTCCTAATATCTCCCTCTAATATTGTTGCCAACTAACTCCCTTTCTTAATCTACTCATCCCACCTCCATATCGTCCTGCTCTCCTAATGTTACCGCTTTAGAACAGACCCTCGTGCAGGAGTAGAGCATAACCAAATTATTTCATTTATTTATTTTATCGTCCAATTTCCTCTTCCCATCTCCCCATCCAAAGAGTCATAGCAGCCTTCTTTCTCCTAAGGAAGCAAAGGAAGGGGGAGAAAAACAAAACAAAACAAACAACCACCACCAGGTTCAGGGGACTCAGGAAACCTCTCTGTGCCCTCCACCTCTGTGAAGACTCCCCAGATTTCATGTTCTGAGCTAGATCTCTCCATGACATCTGGAAGAGGTGTCCCCTCCTTTTTGCACCCCTTTCTTCTGCTAAATCTCTAAATAGCCTCTTAGTTATTTAGAATCCCAGCTTAAATTCCTTCCTTATAGTACCAGTTTCTATTCCCTCCTCCTTTCTCCCAACCACCTCTCTCCTACATTACAGAACTGCCACCCCTTCTGCCTCTGAACTTTGCCTCCAGACACGGCCAGGTTATATGGCCCCTCCCATTTTGCCCTCTGGCACTTGCCGTGCCTTAAACTGCCATCAGACTGGAACTACCTTTAATTCCTCAAGGCAGACTGGGAACCTGGAGAGGTTTCTTCTCCATTCCAACTGCTTCTGCTCTAGGAGGTCCTGAAATTCCCCCAGTTCAGAAAAAGTAATGACTCTTATTACTAAAGTCTTTGCCTTGATAGTTCCTAAGGTTGATAATAAGATTTTTCCAAATGTGACCCCTCTTCTTTCAAGCATCTGAGAATTGACCAGGCTGGAAACACTAGCCAGAGATGGCGGTAAAAACTGCTTCACGGACTCCCCCAAGGCCAATGGCTGTACTCTCACCTTCTACATGAAATACATCCACTCCTGAAGGAGGGCCCAGGGCAGGAGGAGGGAAACAGGACTCTGCAGACTGGATACAGCATGGTTCGTATCTGGACTCTGCTAAAATACAGATGGCACCTCACAGTCGGACAGCATTGTCCTTCCTACTACCCCTCCCACCTCTGGAAAGATAGCCATCTCTTTATACTAACCTTTGTCTTCCTTTCTCCTGAGTGTAAAGAAAGACCAGTCTTCCTCCCCATTGCTATAAATAATCCTTCCCTCTGAGACTTTCAGCCATTCCTGACCATCCTAGGGAGGTCCAACTCAATTCAACATGTATTTTTTATTTGTTCAGTGCTGGTCACTGTGCTACATGAAGACATATCTGCTACTCAAGGAATTTACAACATAAAGGGAACCTACTATATACTTTAAAATATTTGTTTGTCCTTGTTGTCAATCATCAGTTTTCCATTCCTACCAACTCCTCCCATCCACATTCAACTATATTCATGCTGCACTTTGGTCTTGTTGCCTTTTTTTTTATTGTCAGATTTCACAAATGGGTGGTCTATACTCTTCCTCCACTTTACAATGTACTCCCTAATTCCACAAAATCTAGCTTTTGCAACCACTCATTTAAAACTGATTTTTGGGGGATTATGAGTAACCTCCTTCTCCTTGGTCTCTTGGCAGCTTTTTGTTGGTTATATTAAACTTTCTCTTCTAAACTATGTAATACAAACTGGGCTATCTGCACTTCCTTGGCTGATTCCTCTTTCTCCTTCTACAGGCACAGGCCTTTTGGTCTACTGAGCTCACGTACTTTCGTAACTGTGAGTTTCTACTTAGAACTGCAGTCCTGGACTCATTCTGCTACCATTTGGATGGCCAATACCAAATTTATAATCACTTCCAAACTACTCTGACCTCCCACTTACCTTCTGGGTCAACCATTTGCCCAGACATCCATGTTTAAAACTTATAAGTTATTTTAACTCTGTTCATCATTTAGTCCTTATATGAAATTATCACTGAAACAAGGTTTTTTTTTTTCCAAAATATTTCTTATTTTTTCCTTCTCCATTCAAAATGCCACTGCCCTAGTAGGCCTTTAATGGATTGTTTTGAGAGTGAAGCAAATCTCAAGAATCTCTCTTTGTTCCATTGCATCCTGTGTACAATCATACCAATATTTTTCTAAAATACTGCTTTCATTGTGTCTTTACCACTCTGAAGAACTTACTAGGCTCCCTGTTTCTTATAAGTCCAAACTTCAGCCTGGTACTACACATTCTCTATAATTCTGCCATGTCTTCCCATATTGGAAATTACCAAGCAAATATTAAGAGTCTTGTAATTTTTTTTCTTAATTTCTCACTGTTCCTTTCCACATACCCTCTCCTTCATTCAGAGCTCATCCACAAAACATGCCACGCTTGTTCCATCCCCCTCGTCAATGCAGCTCTCTCATTCTTGGAATAACGATTCTTCTTCCTGATTGTTTTCATCCTTTTATAACATACCACCAATCAAAAGCTTGCCTATTCTTCAAAGTGTATCTCAAGCACAATCACCTTCTAAAAGTCTTCCAGGCAACTCCTACACTGATCTCTCCTTCCACTGCCTAAAGCACTTGTCTATGTCATATGCTCTCAAATTTGTTTGTAATCTAACATTGTTGTAAACCTTTTCATATTGTCCTAAATGTTTCATTAAGTGTAAACTTGGGTTTTATAAATACTTTGAGGGCAATAATAACACCATAGATTTGTTTTTCATCAGCAGCAGCATTTTCACCTGCTTTAGGCGTGGGTTACATATGCAGGTTACAGGCATTACATATTGAACTGAAACTTAACTGCACCAAATATCCCAGGGTTTGGGATACAGGGTTAGTATTAAATCTCAGTGAAAGAAATGATAGCCAAGCTGAGATGATTGTTAGTATTGCAATACTAGTTATTTGGTTCCCCTATCCACCAAAGTTCAGTATTCCAATCCTTCCTCTGCTCCATGTCACCAGCCCTGGGATTTATCCGGGGTAGGGATGTCTCACCTCCCTCCAACCTCATCCCCAATTAACTCACTGGTTTCATTGTCACTGGTTCCGTTGTGGTTGGTTCCGTTGTGGTTGTTTCCGTGGTCATTGGTTCTGTTATCATTTGTCCCATTGTCATTGGTTTCATAGTCACTGGTTTCTCTGTTGGCCTCTGATGGTCTCTGTGTTCTGTTTCATGACTTACGGTAGTCTCTTCTACTTTCGTTACTTCCGCATCCAACCTGTTCTACCCTCAGTAGGATTAGGAAACAAAGAGTTACCATTGTTTCCATCCAACATCCTCATAGATTCTCTAGAGTTCTTCTCTCCTTCACCTCACCTATCGCACCTCCCATCCCTCCTGCTGGCTCTCCAAGACTTAAGCTCGGGGATCTTCCCTATCTCACATTTGCATGGATTGTGTACCCATCCCATTCACCAGTTCCCTAAACTCAAGGACTATCCTTCCCTCTTAGTGTCTTAACCTACTGGGTTCTGGCTTCATTCATTTTCTCAGATGTGATAACAGGTCTGTTGTATGCCCACTACAGGGGCAATATGAAAGAGTAAAGTTTCACTTTACCTAACTCATTAAAATTTTTTAAAAATTTATTGATTTTAGAGAAAGAGTGGAAAAGAGGAAGCAGAGTGAGGGGAGAGAGAGAGAGAGAGAGAGAGAGAGAGGAAGAGAGAGAGAGAGAGATTGAAACATGGATTTGTTGTTTCACTCATTGATGCATTCATTGGTTGATTCTTGTATGTCCCCTGATCAGGGAATGAACCTGAAACCTTGGTATATTGAGACAATACTCTAACCAGCTTAGCTACCCCACCAGGGCCCCAAATCATTTTTATTTCTACTGGTAGTTTATATTTCAACGTTGCCCAGTTCCTTTTTAACTGTTAACCTATCTTCTTCTTAGATGTCACTCACCAGCCTGTCCTCTGACTCAAATATGGAGTAATCAACAGTGAAATTTGCAACAATGTCATCTGGGGAAGAGAAAATAATTAGAAATAACTAAAAAGAAAGGTAGTACTACATCTAAAAATTAGAAAAGGAAGAAATTGCTCAAAACACTTCAACTTGCCCAAGTTGTAAAATTTAATGGTATAATCTAATTCTAATGAACTTTAATGTGGAAAAATATTTGTGAATGTGTATGCATTTATACTTCCAATCTAATATGTAAAATAACTTACACATTTGAAAACTTTCAAATTGTTTCAACCAGTTTCCAAAGAGCTGAAAATTGCTAGCCTGAGAAATAACATCATGAGCCTTGAGAGTCTTTGCTCATAGCCAACTTTCTCTCTGACCCAGTTCCTCTACTGCAAAGGGGAAGGCAAAGTCTTAGAATTATCCCCAAACCTCTCTCCACCCTGCTAAGGGTCAGAGCCCTATACATACTCACCATAATTGGGAGTGATTGTATAATAATAGACCACCTGATAATAATCTTCCTCTTCCAGTCCCTCTTCATCCTCATAGTTCTGTCCTGTGGGGACAAGGACTAGAGGTTAAGGGGCATTGGAACTTCTTAGCAACAAAAGGACACCTGAGGTTGACCTCAGCTCTATCGATTTCCTTTCTCTCTGCCTCACTTGCAAGGGTCAGACTATCTTTCTATTTCTGCACCTCTAAACCCTTCTCAGTCTTCTGGGCTCCACATCTGTGATGAGGCTTGTTACTCTATGTCCTTTCAATGCAGGAATTCCCAGAACAGAAAATACATCCCTTCACATACTGTAAACTCAAAGCAATAACTAAACCTAAAAAAGATAGGAAGTGTGCCCTGACTGGTGTGGTTCAGTGGGGCCACATCCTACAAACCACAAGGCACATGCCGGCAGTGCAGGCCAGGTCCCTAGTTGGGGGGGTGTGAGAGGCAATGGATCTTGATTTTTTTATCTTCCTCCTACCCCCTCTCTCAAAAAATAAATAATTAAATCTTTATTTTAGAAAAGAAAGAAAAGGTAGGAAGCAGGGAGAGAGAGACCAGAAATTGAGAACTCCAAGTCTACTATTTGGTATGCTCCAGACTGTAATGTATTTATGACAGTTCTTTTCTTATCAGGGACTCTCACAAATAACGAACACACACACACCATTAGGCTTTGGATTTGTGTTTTAGTTCCAGTGTCACTGCTAACTAGCAGAATACCTCAGAACAATCCATTTAACATCTGTTTTTTTTTTTCTTTAAATGAGTCAGCTGGACTAAATGACCCATCTGGGTTCATTTTTCTTCCTTCCCCCGACTGAAAATATGTGGCTTTGACATGATTGAGTCAATACTGTAGGCCTTCTGCTAAAACATTTCCCTAAACACTTTGAAGCCTCTCTCTTAACCACAAGGAATGACATGAAAACCTGGAGGAAAAGAAAACAATAAGAGTACCTGTCAGATGTCTAGCCAAGTGGAGGTGTAGGTGGATACACTTTGCACCCTCACACAACCAAAAGAAGGACAATAAACTTAAAAACAAAAAACAACCAGGATTGCCAGAACTGCCAGAAAATCAAACTGTATGAAAGTCCGACAACCAAGGAGTTAAAGAAGAAACATTCATCCAGACTGGTGGGAGGGGAGGACCTGTATCCTCAGCCCCGGCAGACAGCACATGTGGCAAGGCCTCAGACTGGGCAGGTGAGGCGGCAGCAGGTGGCCTGGGCAGTCATTCACATGCAGATAAACCAGGAGGAACAACTGGGGAGGGAGAGTGACCATGCAACCCAGGGTTCCAGGGTGGGGAAATAAAGCCTCAAAACTTCTGGCTGTAAAATTCCATGGGAGTTGTAGTGGCACGAGAAACTCCCAGTCTCATAGGAGAGTTCATTGGAGAGATCCACGGGGTCCTAGGACATACACAACCCACCCACATGGGAATCAGCACCAGAAGGGCCCAATTTGCTTGTGGCTAGTGAGGGAAGTGACTTAAAAGCAGGGTGAGAGCTGAGCGGGTGGCATTGTTCCCCTTCTGGCCCCTCCCCCACATACAGCACCACAACACAGCCAAGTTGGTTGCCCCACCCTGGTGGATACCTAAGGCTCTGCCCCTTACAATGTTACAGGTACACCAAGACAAAGAAATATGGCCCAAATGAAAGAACAGATCAAAACTCCAGAAAAAGAACTAAGAGACGAGGAGGTAGCCAACATATCAGATATAGACTTCAAAACAATGGTAATCAGGATGCTCACAGAAATAATTGGGTATAGACGGAAAATGGAGGAAGTGAAGGCCATACAAAGTGAAATGAAGAAAAATATACAGGGAACCACCAGTGAAGGGAAGGAAACCAGGACTCTAATCAACCATTTGGGGCAGAAGAAAGAAATAAACATTCAATCAGATCAGAATGAAGAAACAAGAATTTAAGAAAAATGAGGAGAGACTTAAGAACCTCTCAGACAACTTTAAATGTTCCAATGTCTGAATCATAGGGGTGCCAGAAGGAGAAGAGGAAGAGCAAGAAATTGAGAACTCATTTGAAAACATAATTAAGGAGAACTTTCCAAATCTGGCGAAGGAAACAGACTTTCAGAAAGTCCAGGAAGCTCAGAGAGTCCCAAGAAGTTGGTCCCAAGGAAGCACACATCAAGGAACATCATAATTACATTAGCCAAGATTAAAGATAAGGAGAGAACCTTAAAAGCAGCAAGAGAAAAGGAGATAGTTACCTACAAAGGAGTTCCTATAAAGCTATCACCTGATTTCTCAAAAGAAACTCTACAGGCAACAAGGGGCTGGAAAGAAGTATTCCAAGTCATGAAAGGAAAGGACCTACATCCAAGATGACTCTATCCAGCAAAGCTATCATTTAGAATGGAAGGGCAGATAAAGTGCTTCCCAGATAAGGTCAAGCTAAAGGAGTTCATCATCACCAAGCCCTTATTATATGAAATGTTAAAGGGACTTATCTAAGAAAAATAAGATTAAAAACGATGAAGAGTAAAATGATAACAAACAACTATCAAGAACTGAAACTAAAAAACAAAAAGTAACAAAGCAAACAACTAGAACAGGAACAGAATCACAGAAATGGAGATCACAGGGAGGGTTATCAGTGGGGAAGGGATGGAGGGAGAACGGGGGGGGGGGAAAAGTGTGGGAAATAAGAAGCATAATTGGTAGGCACAAAACAGATGGGGAGAAAAACAGAACAGTATAGGATATATAGAAGCCAAAGAACTTATATGTACGACCCACGCACATGAACTAAGGGTGGGGGGATGCTGGTGGGAGGCGGGTGTGCAGGGCTGAGGTAGAGAAAGGGAAGAAAAAAATGAGACAACTGTAATAGCATAATCAATAAAGCATCCTTTATAAAAAAAAAGCACCTGGCAGACTGGGGACAAAAGAGGGAAGGAGCCAAGTTACTTTTCAGACTGTCTCTGAAGGCACCCAGTTCTTCACTACTCTAAAGGTCACCCCAACTTGTATCTCTTTACTAATACAAGATTTTTTTTCTCCAACATTCTGGGAAAGAAGGTATATGGGCTTCCCCCACTAGTTTCAGACTGCCTCATGTTCAGAGTCCACTTCTCTTCTTTACCTGCACGTTAGTCCCTCTCATCTGCTGCAGCTCGGTTCTGCATGAACTCGGTGATGCAGAGCTGAGTTCACGCTTGTTAGGACCTCCCCGGTTCTGGAGCTCCATCCCCATCAGCTGTGTCGTCTTTGACAGAACTCCGCTTTCCACCCTCTTTCCTAGCTTTATTTCCCAGATTCCCCTCCATCCCAACACTGGACTGCAGCACAGATGAGAGTGTTATCACTCCCCATTGAATTGTACCTCTCACCCTCTCCTCGTTTTCTTTTCTCCCACTCTATTTATGGCAGAAGACCTGGCCCTAAAACTTGGAGAGAAGTGAACTTACCCAGGATCAGTGGCACAGCAAGGATAGCTACAAAGAGGACATCCATTCTGGATACTGCACTATTACTGTGAAAGTAAAAAGGAAATTACAGCGTTTCCCACCAAACTTACCCCGCCTCTGGCCCGCCTCCAGCCCGCCTCCGGCCTACTTCTGGCCCTCCTCCAAAGCAGAGAACTGCTGCACTCTTTTCTCAGAGGGTGGAATTCCTCTCGCGCTTGTTAACTGACCAGCTCATCAGTTACTACGGTCTTGTCCTCAGGGATAGATGCCCATATTAAGAGAGACAAAGTGGGTTTCGATGGGAACATGTTCGTTGCGCTCCCCTAGCCTCGATTAGACCCATTTGGGATAACCGCTGCCACTAAGCAAACCAACAACAAAAAACCCCCACCCCCGCAAGTAAGAAGCTTCTCTTAGTAAGCCCTCTCCCCCACGCTCCTTCCCTCTCTTTCAGTCCTCACGAGTGTTCACCTCCCCTCTCACTGTCCCATCGCCATCCACAGTTGCTCTTCTCTCTGAGGCTTAATCACAATTTCTCTTTTTTCTTCTCTCTCTCTCTCTCTCTCTTATTTATTTATATTTAGAGTGAGGGGAAGGGAGGAAGAAAGAGAGGGAGAGAAACACGGATTGCTTCAACCTGGGATGGAACCTGCGACCCAAACATGTGTCCTGACCTGTAATAGAATTGGTGACCTTTGGCTCTGTGGGATAATGCCCAGTCCATTGAGCCACACCGATCAGGGCACAATCTCTTTCTTCATAGTTGACATGTTCTGAGAAAGGAATGAGCATTTTCTAGACTGAAAATAGTCCCTTTTTTCTGCCCATCTTGGACTGTGAAATATGGAAACAATGTCAACATCATCATTGTCTGATTCTGAAAGCAGCTGTTACATTGCTTTTGATACAAATCTCTCAGCCAAAGTCAGTTATTTCCTCTCTGGTAATTATTGACCTCATCTCACCTCTTCCTCAACTTTCTGGGTACAGGATGGAAGAAGGGAGAAAGCAGACTGCCTCTCTCCCCGCTGCAGGTGCCGCACCGCTCCCACTTTCAGTCACTTGGAGTATCCCCTTCATTCCAGCCTACAGAGGTAGAGTCATCTTATCCTTTTCTCTGCTTTTATATTTCCCACTTTCGTTGAATTTGACTTTCAGAAACATTTAATGACATACACACTAGGCACACAGTGCTAGGATAACTCTGATGGGCAATTCAGGATTCACAGGCAAGAGAATAAGAAAAGAATACAGTGGTGTGTGTGTGTGTGTGTGTGTGTGTGTGTGTGTTTTCAGAGAATTATCTTTCCCCTTAAGGAAGTATCTTTCCCCTGAAGGAAATATCTTTCAACATCTACTGGGAGCCAGGCACTGTGAAAGTCTCTGGAACCACCCATGAACATGATAGGTTTGGTGCTGTCAAAAGATGCTGTGGTAACAGCTCAAAGGAGACAGAAGAGTTGTCTCACCCCATCCCTTCTCCTGATTTGGCTCGGAAGCAAGACACACTAGAGTCTTGAGCACTGACCAGGATGCTCCCACCCTCTCAACAACACTGGGAGAGGACTTGCTCGGTGACTTTCCATGTAAATGTAAATCTAAACAATCTATTCTTTCAGTTCCTTTACAGAATTTCCTGAGGGGGAAAAAAGTAAAATAGTTTTGTGGATATGAATGCATTAAAACATAAATCACTTCCAGGAAGGAAAGGAAGCATCGTTCTCTTTGAACAACTTCTATAGTTTTTTGGTACTTTGATTACTCTCTTAAAAACAGTATTCCAGATTTCCTCACTTTCCCATCCCGATACTTTTGCCTAAACATCCTCCCTAAGGAATAATCCCATCCCCATACAAAAGAAGGTACAATTCCCTCCTCTCCTAGTCTTTCTTTCATTCTAATATGTAACCCTGGCCCTTTCCCCTAGTCTGAGAAAAAGACACCACTGAGGTTCATTTCAGGAAAGAGGAAGTATGACCTAAAAGGAACTGAGTGACTTGGTGGGGGGGGGTCATTTTCCTTCTACCCCACCGTTCTAATTGCTTTTTACAATTTTAACTCTGAACCCCCTTTAACCTCCTTCCCAATATTGCTCCCCAAGATCCTCTTTCTTCTCTCCAATTCTCTTGTCTTTACAGATGAAGGCTTCATTAGTGATATACTACACTGTATTGCATGATTCCTATACTAGCTTGTTCAAAGAGCTCCTACTTTTAAGTCTAACCTTCATCTCTTAGGCAGTAGCTCTAGCCCATTTCCTCTCATTCAAGTAAAAACAATACCCGTGGCTGTCTCTCTGCAACGTCTATCCTGTGCTTTCTTCGTATTTGTCTTTTAGGTTGCAACAGGATCTTCCCCCCTCTGCAGCAATTCAAGTTGAGATAGTGTTGCCGGGAGAGACCTGGTTTTTCTTGCTGACGCATGTAAAGAATTACATATCAGCAAATCTAGTAGTATGTAATCAGTTTATTAGTGGCCTGTTCCCATCGAAGAGAACAAGACCAGGTAGAGTAGGGGGTGAAAGGCAAAGTTTTAGGGCAAAGCAGGGCAGAAAAAGTAAGAGTGGCTGAAGACCAGGGTGACAAGCCCCTGGGCAGCCTGAGGCTGGGTGGCCAGAGAGCCAAGAGCACCCTGAGCTCCAGAGAGAGAGAGACAGAGAGAGAGAGACAGAGAGAGAGACAGAGAGACAGAGAGACAGAGAGAGAGAGAGTCCTTTGTTCTCAGGACTTATATAGTTGGTGGGATAGGAGGGAAAAAAGTCACATATTGATTAACAGGTAAATGTGGTGCCAGCTTTCCTGAGGGAAATGTGACTACCCAAATTTAGGGATGAATTGGAGTCTGTCAGTCCGAATTCTTATCTCGCTCCAGACTCCATTTGGTCATCCTGTTGTAAAACAAATATGTGACTGGAGGCAGTTAATTAAAATTTGAGACACTTTTTAAAGTTATTTATGGGCTCTTTCTGTAAGCATCAGGGACTCCCTTGTAAAACAGATAGTGACCAGAGGTAGGCAATTAACCAAAGCTGTTTTATGGGCTCTTTCTGTGGGCACCAAGGACCCTCTCCCACATTCAGGCCTTGGGATGAAAGCACAGTTTCAAGGCTTTCTTTCCCAGATAGTAGAAATGCTACAAAGAATTTCAAGGACTTTCCTTCTTTCTTGCTAACATAGTGTTTCTTGTGATGTTGGAACACCTGGCAAGATTATTAGACCAGGCTCAGGACTGCTGAGTTAGCGTGTGAGACATGTCTCCTTCCTCCTTCCTGCCTCAGTTTACTATTTATTCTACCTAATTGGTAAAAGGTGTTTCCTGGCAACCAGGGTGCTAAACGCTGGCCAGTGACAGTATTGCAGTTTAGAGTTTTTCCCTATGCTGTCTCCTGCTTCAATAGGATTGTTACCACCCTTCTCGTCAGGAGCATGTGTTTGTGATATAGTTTTTCCTATAAGTTAGCTGGGCAACTGCTCGGCTGGCTGCCTGCTGAGCAGCCTGGTACCAAGGAACAGACAAGAGTCACACAGTTAACTATGCTGTTCACTCAGCTTGTATTGAATGCAGGTTCACTCAAAGTAGAACATCAACATATATTAATACCCTACTCACACTCTAATAATGTAAGAGAAATATAACATACACACACAGATCAATCAATGGGGAATAATGGACCCAAATCTCAGTCTCATCCTGCAGGTCCGGGAGACAGCACCTTGGGCAAGGGAGTCATCAGCATCTGGCAAGGAAGAATCTCTGGAGCCAGGTGGGCAGCAGGGCAGGTGAAGTCCTCAGTCCAGCAGGGCAGATGCCAAGGGAGATCAGTGTAGCATGGAGCAGCCCTCTGGTGTGTGGAGCTCGGCTGTCTCAGCAGTGGCCTGGAACTTGCTTCAGTTATATCTTGAAAGTGGTATGTACTCCATCCTTCTGGGTTTTTTTGATAAATGTCTTGGCACTCCTGATGCCAAATGGGAAATTTGCCCAGGAGCCTATGGGCAGTACATGGCTGTTCTGCTTGATACCCGTGCTGGCAAGTGTGAAATTGCCCCAGGAGCCTATCTATGGGTGGTCCCATTCTGCAGACACAGCCACTCTGACCACGTGTGCAGATACCTTAGGAGTGTTTCCTTGCCAGAGTTGTCTGCTCTGACCACGTGGGCAACTATGTCTCCTTGCCAGATGTCTTCACTCTGACTTAGGTGATTTTCCTCTTGAATCAAAGTGTCATGGCTGACTAACAGCCATTTTAGTTGACAAAAGTGACTCCACTTTGTTTTATACACCTTACGTTATCTTAGTCAGACGTATGCCATTTTATTGGTCCTGCTCTTCACACTTCTCCACAAAATAACGAAAGGAAGGCACAGCCAAGGCCTAACTGAACTCAGGAACCCTTGCGGAGCCCGGGCCACTGCTGGACAATTCAGTTGGGCCCGCTAGAGCCACGCCCAGCACCGAAGTTGAGGAATAAAAGGATAGGAGGACTACAACTCCCAGAGGGCCACGCATCCCCGTCCCGTCTCTGAAGCCCCGCCCCTCCGATTCTCCATTGGCCGTGCGGGTGAAGGTGGGGGAATTAGATGGGAGGTGGCCACCGGGCTGCGGCGGGGATTTGTGCCCTCCTCGGCTTCCGTAGAGGAAGTCGCGCGGACTTGTATTTGGGGTTTTGGTGCTCCCCCCTTCCCCTTCCCCGGGGTTCGGGGGTGACATTGCACCGCGCCCCTTACGGGGTCGCGTCGCCACCCCACGCGGACTCTCTAGCTGGCGTGCTCCTCCTATCCGCCTCTCTTGGCCAGGTCTCCGCCCCGCCCCCAGCTGCCAAGCAATGGGGGCCGCAGTGTTTTTCGGATGCACTTTTGTCGCTTTCGGCCCGGCCTTTGCGCTTTTCTTGATCACTGTGGCCGGGGACCCGCTTCGTGTCATCATCCTGGTCGCAGGGTGAGTAGGGGTCGGGGAGACTTAGGAGGGAGCCGAAGAGAGAAATCCGGAAGGGTTTGGAGGAACTGGGGCGATTCTGGGAGCCTGAGTTGGAGAGACAAGTCGGAGGTGAAGATTGGAAAGGGTTGAGTCAGTCAGGGCTTTGGGTGATTTCCCATATTCCGAGGTTGGTTTCCGCCTTCCAGGGATCGCACAGATTCCTTCTATACTTCTTCCGGCGACGTCAGAGGAGGCCCAAGGCCAAGACTCGGGAGGGGGCTGTGATGACTTCGGGCGGCCCCAAGGGAGGATCCAGGAATGGATACCTCGCCCTACTATGTTCAAACACTCTGACTGTCATTGCTCTACAGGCTCTTTAGTCAATTTCTGCCGTACCCCTGCGTCCGGAACCCTATAGATTCCCTTGGTGGAAACATCTATCTTATCTGCTCCTTGTCTCCCTGACCATCCGGAAGTTTAACTTCCACTTTTCATGTTTCAGCCTTGGTTGATTCCTTTCCTTGATTTCTCGGGCTGCCTCTACCTTTGCCTGTCTAATTGCCCCTGTTTTTCCGCAGGGCATTTTTCTGGCTGGTCTCTCTGCTCTTGGCCTCTGTGGTCTGGTTCATCTTGGTCCATGTAACCGACCCATCAGATGCCCGGCTCCAGTATGGCCTCCTGATTTTTGGTGCTGCGGTCTCCGTCCTTCTACAGGAGGTGTTCCGCTTTGCCTACTACAAGCTGCTTAAGTAAGAAGATGGATGTTCTGGAGGGGAGAGAATTGCGCTATGAGAAGTGGGGCAGCCCCTGGGTGGTGGTTTGGAAAAGGAGGCACTAAGGGAGGATGTTAAAGGGAAAGGAGTATTCCTGCTTTCCCTCATGTTTCCCCTACCCCACCTCACCCCACCTCACCCCAGGAAGGCAGATGAGGGGTTAGCATCGCTGAGTGAGGACGGAAGATCACCCATCTCCATCCGCCAGATGGCCTATGGTGAGCCAAGGGAGAGGGACTGGAGGAGGGTGTTGACACCCGCCTCTCCCAGGGAAGTCTGGAAACATCCACATATTCTAAGTGGCTATTCGTTTCCTTCATATCTGACTTCCAAGGAGAGGTGGTCTGGAGGGAGAGTAGGTGTGGGGGAATTGTGGCTGGGAATGGGGAGGAATCACTGGTAATCAGGCTATAGCGATCTCTGACATTGACGAGACCCTCCCTCCCCCCAGTTTCTGGTCTTTCCTTCGGTATCATCAGTGGTGTCTTCTCTGTTATCAACATTTTGGCCGATGCACTTGGGCCAGGTGTGGTTGGGATCCATGGAGATTCACCCTATTACTTCCTGACCTCAGGTAAGATCCCCTTTCTATTTTGCCTTCATGCCCTACTCGTCCCTGGCCCTGATCTTATTTATTGGCCTGCCCTGGGAGATTTCTGTGGCTCAATATCTTAGGAGGCTGGGAGAAGGTGAAGGATGTATCTCCTCCCCATCTTCCTTCCTGCAGCTTTTCTGACAGCAGCCATCATCCTGCTCCATACCTTCTGGGGAGTTGTGTTCTTTGATGCGTGTGAGAGGAGACGGTACTGGACTTTGGGCCTGGTGGTTGGGAGTCACCTACTGACATCAGGACTGGTGAGTTGGGGACAGGGGCCTGAGTCAGAAAAGAATTTAATGGTGAGTTGGATGGAGGGGAAATATATCTTTACTTCTTAACGTTTTAAGACTTACTGTGGGAGAAGGCAGAAAGGTGAGTCTTTAGAGGTCTCTCACCTCAGCCAATTGTGTAACCTTCTGTGGGGATGCTTTAAGAAGGAGTTTGAATGGATTGGTCAAACTGTAATGCAGATGGCCTGAGGTAAGCAAGAGTGGCAGACACCTCTGAGGAAGCTGAAAATCGGGAGCCACTTTAACCTCAAGATTTGGTGCTCTGAAGGGAAGGACTAGGGAATTTGAGCGAGAAAGCTGGGGGAGGTGTGGGTCAAAGGCACAGAGGACATGGGGATTAGGCAGAAGGAGAATCTAACTTCTTTTCTACTGTTACTCCCATCCCCAGACATTCCTCAACCCATGGTACGAGGCCAGCCTGCTGCCCATCTATGCAGTCACTATTTCCATGGGGCTCTGGGCCTTCATTACAGCCGGAGGGTCGCTCCGAAGTATCCAGCGCAGCCTCTCGTGTAAGGACTGACTACTTGGACTGATCACCTGACAGATCCCACCTGTCTGCCCACTGCCCATGACTGAGCCCAGCCCCAGCCAGGGTCCATTGTTCACCATTCTCTGTCTCCTCGTCGGTCTGTCCCACCACCTTCAGGGTTTTGTTTTGTCCACCGGTGACCTTTAGGCTTTACCAGGAGCAGCCTGGGTTCAGCCAGTCTGTGACTGGTGGGTTTGAATCTGCACTTATCCCCACCCTCTGGGGACCCCTTTGTTATCCAGGACTTTCCATGTGTCAGTGCTCTGCTTTCACCCTGCCCAAGACTCACCTCCCTTCCCCTCTGCAGGCCGACGGCAGGAGGACAGTCAGGTGATGGTGTATTCTGCCCTGCGCATCCCACCCGAGGATTGAGGGAACCTGGGGGGGACCCCTGTGCCTGGGGTGCTCCCTGATCTCCTCGCTCTGTATTTCTCCATCTCCAGTTCTGGACAGTGCAGGTTGCCAAGAAAAGGGGCCTAGCTTAGCCATTGCCATGAAGATGAAATTAATGGAGGCTCAAAGGGAGATGAGCTCTGAGTTTCTAAGTACCCCTTCCCCAGACTGGACATCTTGGTCTTTTCTCAGGTCTGAGGGGAACCATTTTTGGTGATAAAGACCCAAAACTGCCTTTTTTCTTTTCTTTTCTTTTCTTTTCTTTTCTTTTCTCTCCCCTCTTTTCTTTGAGAAGAGAAGGGAGGAGGTATGTTGGACTTCTGACCTCCTTGGACTATATTTTCCCCTCCTCAAATTGCTCCTTATGCTTGGGCTTCTGTCTACCCCCCTGTCCCCATTGTCCTGGGCCTTGAGAGAAAGGAAGTGCATGTTTGGGAACTGGTATAACTGGAACTAATGTTTTAACCTCCTTGACCACCAGCATCCCTCCTCTCCCCAAGGTGAAGTGGAGGGTGCTGCGGTGAGCTGGCCCCCTCTAGAGCTGCAGTGCCACTGGAGGAGTCAGCCTACCATGACATCGCAGGGAAGGAGGGCAGATTTTTTTCTAGTTTTTAATTGGGAGTGTGTGTGGTGGGGGGGTGAGGCGGGGAGGTTTTCTATAAACTGTATCATTTTCTGCTGAGGATGGCATGTCCCATCCTTTTATTCAAGGTGATTGTGATTTTGACTAATAAAAAGGACTTTATAATTGTAGGGGAATGTGCCTTTTAAGGAAGGGTGTAACATGTTAGTTGAGATTTCTGTCCTCATGTCTCTTGTCCAAACTTCTTCCTAATTTGGCACCTCCGATCCCTTCCTAGCCGAGGTTTGGTGCAAGGGCAGAAACCTGGGCTGGTGCTGTAACATGTTAGGAACTCGGGGTTAAGCATTTTTCAGGGTCCCCCCTTCCAAGATTGGGGTAAAAGAAGCTACTCACTCATGCTGCTTCTTCCCTATGCTTTGCCCACCTCTGCCACCTGAGGGATTAAGGAACTCTCCCACTCTCAAAATCCCCAAAGGTAAAGCCAGATATGAGTCAGAAACTTTAATTTCCAAATATATTGAGCAAAAATACCCCCTTCCCCTCCAAAAGCAACCCTTTTTCATAAGGGGATATCTTGCCCATATCTAGGCAAAGGGGCAGAAAAGAGAAGGGGTGGGGGACTTTGGGCCACATCCTCAACTTCCCCTACAATTAAGCACAGTCTGTGTTATCAATGGAGGGGCGTCTCCTGATCTCCCATGTGTTTTGAGAGACTGAAGGCTCGGCTGTACTTCCTTGAATGAGAACCCATCCGTGACTGGAGGAAGGAGGGGTGTCTGCCTGCTACTTCTACAGTAATCGTGGCCAGTCTCTGCACCCCGTCCTGGAAGCTCCCTGACAGGTGTGATGGGAAGGCATCCATGATGTCCGAGAGGGAGTCTATGCCTCGGTGACTGGTGCTGAGGTGAAGGCCACGCTCTTCTGGTCCCCTGACACCTTCTTCCTGGAAGGGGGAATGGTTCATGGATATGACTGTGGTGGCCTAGGCGGGACAGCCAAGAAGTGGAATAGGAGAACGCTTTTCAGGAGAAAAGAAGGGACTAGAAGAATGGGAAACGGCCTCACCGAATCTTCCTGGCGATGAGATAAACAGCCAGCAGAAGGCAGAGACAGCCGACCAAGATTCCCACTCCTAGGCTCAGCATTTCACCTGGGAGAGAGGGAACGTGGCAGTCAGCCTAGGACTAACTAGCCTAGACACTGAGCCCTTCCCTTGCTCATTGAGGCGCTCCCCTGCCGGCCCCACAAACTTGGGTAGGGTTGTCTTACCTGTGGTGTATGAGGATTCTGCTGTAAGGGAAGAAAACTTGGGTCAGTGGCACTTCAGACCCCCATCCCAGCTGGGAGCAGCACACTGTGCCTCTGTACCTGGGGGAAGTCACCTGGCTACTCAGGATTGGGGTCTGGTTCCCAGTCTAAGTGAGTCCTGGAAACTCTTACCCTCTTAGCCTTCTTTTCCTCCCCAGTGGCTCCGTAGTGCCTGCTCTTGAGACCCCCAGTTTCCCATCTCCTTTTCCGAGCCTTGAATAGTTACCTTGGATGAAAGAAGCAAAGATCGTTCGCTGATTGAGAGGCTGGGGGGCTCGGTAGTTCTGCACCAGGAGCTTAGAGGGCTCCTCTGTAGAGAACAGTGTCTCCTGAAGCTTTTCCAGCTGGAAGAGGGGTTAGAGGAGAAGTGTCGCTTAGGGGTGGGAAAGGATCTGGGGTTACAGCTACGTCTCTGCTGCCTCACTTCTCCACCGCTCACCTGTTCCCTTGAAATCTGGGCCCTTCGGCTGAAGACTGTCCAGAGCACACTCTGGTAGCAGGGGGGCGTGGTGAGCGAGCCGTTGTAACGGAAGAAGTGTGCCAGCACTGGGGGGAGCAGCTCTCTCATGTTGAAGGGAGGCACTGAGGTGTTCTGATCTGGGGGAGAATAGACCAGGATCACCTCTCTGTTGCACCCCAGCTTACCTAGACAGGGCTCCCAGAGGTGAAACTTCTGACCCCTAACTTACTCCCTCATCCCAGGCCTCTTAGTACTTTTTTTTTTTTTTTTGGAAGTTTCCCTGATGTCTGTTCTGACTTTGTCCCAAGATTTTTTTTTAAAAAAGACTTTATTTATTTTATTTTTTTAGAGAGGGAAGGGAGGGAGAAAGAGAGAGAGAAACATCAACGTGCAGTTGCTGGGGGGCTGGGGGCCGTGGCCTGCAACCCAGGTATGTGCCCTGACTGGGAATCGAACCTGCGACACTTTGGTTCGCAGCCTGTGCTCAATCCACTGAACTATGCCAGCCAGGGTGTCCCAAGATTTTTAGGGCTCACCTTTATACCTTATTTCATGCAAGTGACTCAGAATGTGTTCATAAGCTGGATTCTTCGTCTCACCCACCTGGAAGGGAAGGAAGGGGAGGAAGTTTGGTATGAGTCCACGTTCGGAGTAACATTCACGTAGAGAATAAATGGCCAGTGGTTGCTGAGTCGCCTTGGGAGGGAGAGCAACAACAGACACGAGCACAATGGGACGAGGGAAGCAGAGGGAGTGAAGAGAGGCCCAGGAGGAAGTGGGGAGCACTGACCTCAATGAGGACGCCCAAGACGGCCAGGCCCTGAGGCATCTGAGCAGCCTCACTCAAGCTGTTGTAGGTATCAGAATCATAGTGCACGATGTGGAGCTGAGGGGAAAGGTCATTGAATCATTTAATGTTTCTCCACTTCCCCACCAAAGGCTTTGATCCTAGCTGCCACCACCACCACCGCCCCGCCGCTGCCAGCATGCCCTAAGTCTGTCCCACAAGGGTCGGAGTTATCCTCCAAGTATGACTTCCCAGTTTCCAGGTCCTTTTCCCTAGCACCAACCATGCCTGTCACTATGTCCTAGACTGAGTTTTGCTCCCCGGTACCTCTGCAGCGCTGGCTTCACTGTTGATCTGGTGCTCAGACCCCTTCGGGGATCCTTTCTGACCCCAGTGCAGGTGGAGCTGGGCAGCTACATATTTTTGGGGAAGTCCCTCCAGATGCAGGGTAGGGGGCAGAGAGAGTTGCACTGTGAGGAAAAGAGCAAGCTAGGGTTGGTGGAGGAAAACGGACACATCCCCACCCCTAGGATGCCACCGATTCTTGGGAGACTTGGCTAGCCTTTTCCAGTTCTTCCCACAGGCCGCTGCTTTCCTAGCACGTTTTTCTCAGTGAAGATCAAGTCAGTAATGTTCACGCTAATCCACCCATAGAGCTTGGTCATAGATGTTGAGTTTCCGCTCTTGGCTGCAGGAGCCTCATCCCCCTCCTCACACCTCCAGATTTACAGAGGGAGCCTTGTCAGAATTCAGAAGGTCAGAGAATACTTTTTCCTCCTGACCTGTAAGGTTGCAACTGAAGCTCTCACCTCCGTGCAGCCTGGGCATTTTACCTGTGTGGCCATTGTTGCGCAGCTCCAAAGGCCTGGTGCCAGGCTGGTCATATCCATGGGGCTGCAGAGGGAGCAACTCCGGGTCAAAAGTCACACTGTCTGTCTGGATATTGACCGGGGACTGGGCATTGCGTCCACACTCAGGGTAAGAGGCTGGCCAATGGTGTTGACCATGTGGGCCTGGTGGGGGTTACCACAGACATTTGTCCTGCTCCCCAGCCCCAGCCACCCTTCAGCAATCCCCCACCAAGTTTAACATCTGTGTGGAGGAGTAGAAATGAATTTTCCTTCTACCCCACTTGAGACCCCAGTTGTGTACGGCTGGGTGAGGTAGGAGTCCCTGCTGGACCTGATGCTTCAGTCCCCTCCAGCTACCCCGAGGCTGTGATGATTCCCCAGCTTTCCTGATAATGGGGGATACTGACGTTAACTTACTTGTAGTTTGAGGACAAGAAAGCTGAATGAGAGGAAGAGGGGCTATTTAGAATGCCTGCATACCCAGCCAAGGGGGAGTTAGAGCAGAGCAGGAAATTTGGGCAAATACAATGATCCTAGAGAGGTAGGTCCCAGTGGGGCCCCCTACTAACTGGCCTTGTATTCAGATCTGCTGACTTTCCCTCCTTTGCTTTTTGCTCTCACCCGAGACCTTGTATTGACTCTGGAATTCAGTCAAGTTATTTGTCAGAAGTTCAAAGGAATTGAGTCCCACCTCCATCAGGATCACATACGATCCTGCCAGCCTCTTCCTCACCGCCGATCTCAAGTTCTGTCCCAATTCCAGGTGCAGGTAGGGGGCAGAATTGATTAGAACAGAAAGAGAGCTAGGCGGTGAAATGGCAGCTAAATAAATCATGGTTCATTTTCCCTACCCAATGTCCTCTCCACTCCAACTCCTTCATCCCGAAAACTGAGGACACAACTGGCTTTTCTGCTGAGTCAGGACGTGTGGGATTTGATGGTTAGAATGGGGACTAGGAGTTACATATGTAAAGTCTAGGGCATGGGAAGGTGGAGAAGGGAAGGAGCTAGGGCAAGAAGCTAAAGGAAACCATACAACATAAATCTTCCTGCCAGGTGAAGAGGTCCCAGTGTGAAAAGGGTGTAGGTAGGCGCTGGGTTCAGCTCTCACCCTCATAAGTCCAGTGCTGACCTGCAGAGCAGAGTAATTTGAGTTAGAGCCAGCGCAGCCTGGGGCAGGGCCCTCCCTTGGGCAATCTGTACCGCTCCACCTCCCGCGCACGCTGCGCTCTGCTCTTTCTCCTCCCTCCGCTCCACCACTTCCCAAAGGGAGCCCTGAAACTGGACACCTCGGTAGAAAGGTCGGGGGTCTATTTAAAAATCACCAGCCTGGCTGTGCTTGTACTTCCTGCGCAAAGGGGGAGGAGAAATGAAAAGAGATAAAGCCTGGAGACTAAAATTAACCCGGATCCGAGGGTGCCGTCCGCCCAGTCCTCACTTTCCCCTGGCCTGTGCCAAGGCAATCCAGCGCTTGGAAGGCTGGGTGAGGTGAGGGTGTGCGCAGGGGCTTGGAGGAAACGGATGGACAAGGAAGGGGAAAGAGTTTCAGAGTGGGGGGCCGTGCTAATGAGGGCAGGAGGGCGATTATTCCTCTACTTTGAAGCATTGCAGGAATCAAGGCTCTGAGCTGGAAATGAGCATTTAACTTCCTCCCCGTGGCCACGGTAACTCTAAGGAAAAATTTCCCCATCCCCATGAACCTCTGCTGCCTAGATTCCCAGATGGCTAGGGAAGGCGGGAGTCAGGCCGGGGTCCGCTCTGCGTTGAGGGTGGTGGGTGGGCACGAGCAGGCAGCCTGGCCGGGGCAGGATGAAAGTGGAGCATTGTGTGTGGAAGAGAGAGCTGCCAGCTGGGTCACATGCCAGCCTCTGGAGCAGTCCCGTCTGGGGCTGAGGGGCAGGGGGTCTGCTGGCTCAGCCCTCACCCAGGGCCAGACTGCTTCCAGAAGGTTTCCTCAAACTGCTAGAAACTTTGGAGGAAAATCCTGAATTCCTTCCTGTCTCCCTCTCCTATTCCCTTAAATTCCTCAGACTTCCAAGATATCGTCGATCTCACCCTCGGGCTCTTCCACTAGCCCAGCGATATTCAACCTTTTTCATCTCATGGCACACTAGACTAATTACTGAACTTCTGCACCCCAAAAATATAATTTTTGCCGATCTGACAAAAAATAGGTATATTTTTGATTCATTCACACCGACAGCTATTGTTATGTTGGCTATTGTCTTTATTTACTTGACAATCTAAGGGAAAAGAGGTCCGTGCCCCTGACTAAATAGTCAGGCTTGCGTGTTTTTAACATATTTTGCGGCACACCGTTTGGAAGTCGCTGCACTAGCCCATCCCTCGGTTCAGACAACGGGGGAAAGCGGCCCAGGGGAGGGCTGGGGGCAGCCTCTCGCTCACCAGGGCAGTGGGACATCTCAACAACTCGAATCCTTGGTTCCGTGCAGGGACCACTTTGCTGCCCCCAGCCCACCAAAGCCTCGGCACTCTACTTCTACATCTGTTCCTGGGGACTCTCACCCTGCTTTTTTCCTTTTCCTTGGATGCAGTTTGCAGCTCTCCATTTGGCTCCCCCGTCATCCTCTCTGCGTTCCATTCCTGCTCTCTCGATAACCCCCTTCACCCTGTTCTTCCCACAAATCTTAATTACACACCTACTGTGTGCTGGATACTGCTCAAGGCATAGGAAACACAAAAATACGGGATGGGGTCCTGGGACCGCTCTGGAAGCACCTCAGCCTGTTCTCCCAAGAGTCCCTCCTCATCTCCTGGGAGCTCCCGAAAGTCCCTTGTAAACTGTAAAGGGTCCAACAATGTTGACTATTATTGCTACTGCTTGCAGGGAAAAACTGGGCAATTAGTCATTCCATAGACTCAGAGGGAACCTTGGCCCTGATGGGGATCAGGGTCTGAGTCAGGCCAGCGGCAGCGGGTATGCGTCTCCCTGCCACCAGTCCTTATTGTCTCGCTCCAGGGCTCTTTGGCTCCCTAATTGGAGGAGTCAGTAAATAAAGAGGGTCAGGAGGGCTGCCTGGGACTAGGGCTGTGGGGGAAAGAGCTCTGGAGAGAGTCTGTAGCTTGCACAGGGATTCTGGAGTGTGTGTATGCATCCTGGCACCCCCCACTACCCCCCTCCTCAAGCTTTCCCTCATCCTCACTAACACCAGGGCTGGAAAAGCAAAAGGAAGAGAAGAAAAGTGGTCTCCTCAGCACCCCTCTGCTTTTCTATCCCCTAGGCTTCCTTTTACCCTCCGCCCCCCACCTTAAGCTTGCATAACATCATGTGGATATCAGCACAGACAGACACACAGACATTCAGATGAACCTACCCCCGAATGCAGCCTTGATCCAAATCACCTCTAGCAGGAGTATGAGGAGCGTCATGGTATCCTCGGAAGGAGAACAAGGTACTGGGATTTTGGAGACTAGAGGGCTGGGCCAGAAAGAGAGAATCCTGAAGTTCAGTGTATTTATCTCTTTTTCTTTTGCTGTCTTCTTGTCTCCGTGCGCTTCTAGGCAGTGGGTTTTCAGTAGGGTGCTGCAGATTTCGGGGTCCCCAGGACAAATCTTGCTGCTTTCTTTTATCTCCCCTTGTAGTCTTCACTCTACTTGCTGGCCAGTGACTTCACAATTGCCTCCTGCTTTTAAGGTGGCTCTGGACGGGTGTACGTGGGGAGGGGGGGCTGCCTGGGTTGCAGGCCAACAGCTCCTTAAATAGCCAATTAGGTATGCAGGATGGCCCTGCTCTGAGCCCCAGCTCGCAGCGGGTTTCACGGGAGCCCTGGCCCAGGCTCAGGAGCCCAGCTAGGGTAAGCTCTTCCTTCCTCTGCGTTCCACACAGACACTGTTCAGACGGGTGTCCCCTGGAGTCGGGGGGGGGGGGCGCAGGGAGCAGGGAAGGAGGGCTTTGGGGTCCAATCCAGCCTGCGCAGGGGGATACTGGGTTCTCATTCCCCGGCTGCCTCCTCCGAGGAACAAGTCCCCGGGTGGTGTGGGGCAGGTCTTGGGAGAACCTGTTCCCAGTGTCCTGCAGAATTCGAGCTGCGCTGGAATAGGAAGAGTCCAGAGTTAGGAGATGGTAATAAGGAGGAGTTGGGAGAGTCAGGGTAGCAAGTCAAAGACTAAAACCTGGGTTGTGGAAAATAAAGGAGAAGCGAGGCCAAGAGAACTTGTCTGGAGCGCCTGTCACCACCCCCTTCCCACGGTGAGGCCTGGGTCCACGTGCCTGTGTGGCCTTGGTGGGGGGATGGTTTTGTTTGTTGTATAAAGCCCATTTGTGTGTCCAGCGGGGGAGGGGCTGCAGCAGCACCATGGAGAGACAGCGGCTCCAACTGCCAGACCCAACCACCTCCCTCCCCAGGGAGTCCAGATCTAGGGCGGCTTTTGTCACTGCAAAGGACACTAACCCCTGACAGGGAGGGCAGGACAGGAGGAGAGATGGGGAAACCTGAGAACAATCACTACCATCAACAACAACAACAACAACAAAAAAAAGGCGGGCTCCACAGAAGGAGAGGGGAGGGAGTAGAGAGAGAGAGAGAGAGAGAGAGAGAGAGACTGATCATGTGACCCAATTGGAAAAGGGGCCTAGGGTCTTCCCTCCGGCCCAACAAAGAGCTGAGCGGGACGTGTGGGACTGAGTGAAACCTGCCACCAGGGAGCTGGGCTTTGTCTGGAATGTGGGCTGCTGCTTGCTCCCCACGGGACTGGAAATCCCGATTGGAATGTACATCCTAAGTCCCTCATTAGAGAATGTGAAACCCACAGATAATTCCAAACCAGACATTGAGATCTCTGTCCTCCCTACCCTTCACCAGTCTCCAGCCAGGAGGATACTCCCTGTTTGAGCTCCCTCTGCCCTCCTTGTCCCTGCTAGGTAGCAAAAAACAGCCAAAGCAAAGGGAGCAGAAGCTAAATAAGGGAGAGGGATAATAGCCAAATGCATGCGCAGGATCATCAGCGCCGAGGAGTCAGGAGCCCGCCATGCCTTCCTGTGACTGATCTGCAAAGCAAAGCCACTTTGCAGATGCCATGTCCTTTTTAACTCTCATCATCCTTTGAATTAGTTTTCCCTTACAGGAAAGTTTTTTTAAATTTATTTTTATTTATTTTTTGTCCTTACCTGAGGACACACCTATTGACTTTGGAGAGAGGGGAAGGCAGAGAAGAGAGAGGGAGAGAACTATCGATTGGTTGCTTCTAGTACAAACCTGACCAGGGACAGAACTGCAACCTAGGCATGCGCCCCGACTGGGAGCCTTTCAGTTTACTGGGCGACACTCAACCAACTGAGCCACAGCGACCAGAGCCCTTAGAGGAAAGTTTTGTTTTGAGGTTCCTCCAAAATCTCTACCCATCTCATCTAAGAAGAATAAATGGTAAAGTGTAAATTAGACTTTCCTGGATGAGGATAGTTATCACAGAGCAACAGGAAAAAAAAAAAAACAGAAAAGAAAAGAAAGAAAGCAGAGACATCTTGTGCATGGTACAAAAGCAGGAGCCTGAAGAGAATGACCTCAGAGTTCCCAGAGAGAGCCTGGGGCTGTGATTCAACCTCTCATGGCAGGTGGTGTGTCTTGCCAGGCGCCACCTCCTGGTTGTCTGTGGACTTTCCAACGTTAAAATTGTAATGTAAAATGTTTTGTATGTGATTCCTTCTGGTAAGTGTTTCACCGCTGGTGGGCTTTGGGACTTTTGTCTACACAGTTGAAAATTGTTCTGCAAAGGGGTCTTAGCCCCAACTCAGCACTCTGCCACTTCCGGGCGCACAGCCCCTCTAGGCCCTCGTGCTTCCCAAAAGGACAAAGGCCCGGGTTCCTAGGAGAGAAGGGAGACAAAGCACCGTCCTCTAGAGACTTGCCTTTATTTTGACTGTTGGCTCTACTCTGCATATTTCTGGTGTCAAGAGGACCATTATATGTTAAAAAAAAAGAAAAGAAAGAAAAGAAAGAAAAAAGAAAGAAAGAAAGAAAAGAAAGAAAGAAAGTCTCCCCCCTTGCCCTCCGACTCTCCCTTTAGTTGGTACTCAAAACTCTGGCACCTTTGTTTTAATTCTTATTCCCTCTCCAGCCCGTGTTTCACTTGGGGTTTGGCCAAAACCTTACAGAAACCAAAGGAATCCACTGACTTCTGGCGCCATCTCCTGTCCTTTCAAAGGTAGTGCAATGTGAACAAGCCAAAATCAAAGGTCCTTTTAAAAAGGATATTTAAACTCACTAAATATCCCAGGTAACCTAAAACACCGTACAGGAAACCACTAGCTTCTTTGAGTTTGTATGGGGAACGCATACATTCCATGAAGAAGGGGAACAGACCAAAAGGAAAGAAGAATGGTCAGTACAGGGGCGTACTCAAGCAGTACAGGTGAAAACTAATTGCTGAGAAGAGGGAACCAATGAGGAGACAGAATTAGATGGAATTGGACTTCCTGAAAGTGCAAGCAACTTTGTTCCATGAAGTAATACAGACCCAGAGCCAGTCTAACTTGATAGATAACCACATTCATTATTACACACTTGTCTTCTAGCACAATGGTACTGAAGCCCCTTAAATGAACACAAAAGCTTCCAAGAATTAAAGTTAAAGTAAGGCCCCTGGGGGAGGGGGCGGTCAGTCCCCACTGCAGGACCGGTGCAGTATGAGAGTCTGGTAGACAGAGGAAAGGTAAGAATTTGTGGTCTGAAGTGTTGTAATTTTAACTTTTTAAAAAGGAGTAGTTATGTGTCATGCATTGATTCTGTGCCCGGAACACTGCCTGGTACATAAATATTTGTTGATTGGATGAATGAATCTAGTCATTGGGACACGTATTTACTTTCTTTCTACCTTTGGTATCTCACCGAATTTTAAACCAGAAGGGTCATCGGGCATCATTCCAACTTCCTTGTTTACCTTGTAAAGATTGAGTTTTGAGGGATTTAGGGGATTTTCCCATGGTTTGTGACAGAGTTGCTAAGCTGAACCAGAGAAAGGACACAGGTGCCACTGCACTTTCTCCTGCACCAGCGCTTCTCAAACGTCACCGTGGATGAGTCATCTGGAAAGCTTATTAAAATACTGATTTCTGGGGCTTTCCCTTCCACAGTCTCTGATTTCTGGGCTATGTCCAGAGATTTGTATTTTTAACAGGCTGTGAGGTGAAGCTGAGGCTACTGGTCTGCGGGACCACACGAGAAAAAAAGCCTTCCACCACCTGGAGAAGCAGAGGCAGTCAGGGCTTTGCCATTCATTCTCTGTAGGGATTCCAGCCATCTGGAATTGTTCATTGCAATCACTTTTGTAAGGTTAGCAACAATGTCTTCCTTAGTTACAAACATACATGGAGTACTTCTAGGTGCCAGGTGCCATGCCAGACCCAGAAATGAAAAATGGATAAGCCATCCTCCGGGCCCTCAGGAACTTCACAGTCTCTTAGCGGATGCAGACACCTTCTCCAGTTACTGGAATACAATGGGGAGAAGTTCTAGACAGCGGCAGAGCAAAGCGTTTACCGAACCAAGTCAGGTGGACAATTAGCAGTGAGATTTTCTTTACCTAATGTTGACAGTCTTTCCATGGGATGAGAGCATCACCAGGCTCTATAACTATGTGTGAGAACATAAAAAGTGCCACTCCAAAGGAAGGCAGACTCATGCTTCACTGTCTTTGAGAGTGACACCAAACAGATTTGACATCAAAACAGGATTCTCCCTAATAGAGTTAATAAACTGCTTCCTTTGCAAGGAGGAAGGAAAAAGGATATCTCGGTGCCCTGGAATTATTGTAAGTACTTGTTCCATCTGCCCTGCTGGCCACCCCCTCCTACCTGCCTCCTCCCTTTTCTTCTTATCCTCTACCATTCATCTGACTCACACGATCGTTGTTTACCAACTGAAGCAAAAGACATCAACACTTCTACCATTAACCATCGATGGTTTAAAGTTTTAAAGAAAATTTTTCTTTGTTTTTGAAAAAACTTTATGTCTGAATCACTACAGGGATAGGAATTAGAGCATACACCAAAATCTTGTGATGGTGGGTAGCTTTTTACTGGTTTAAATCCTCTCCCAAATAGTAAGTCTGTTCTTGGATTAGACTGTGACAAGTGATTTGGATGTCTTTGAAACCTTCTTTCATTGACATTTTGCTCTCAAACTATCTATACATTTTTCAAAAGGATATGAGTCTTGAAAGGTAAAGTGACTTGGCTGAGGTCACATAGAAATATTAAAAGAACGGAGAATCAGTCTCTGACCAATCCCTCACCCAAAACATGTTAAAATACTTAAAAAACAACTTCTAAAGAAAATAGAGGGCATTTCTGGCTCAGTTAATTCCCTGTAATAGTTGAGGAGGTGTTGCTCTGAGGGGGAAATCCAAATACAAAAACTAATAAACCTTTCTTTTAAACTTCAAGTCATTTCTAAGGCAACATCTGCAAAAGCGAAATGCAATTATTAATGAGCCCATAGACCCTGCATTC